GTTGAAATACTTTTGTTAACCTTCTTATCAGCATTCCATCTAGGAGTATTATCTGATTTACGACAAAGGTCGAAAGACTGGGTTGCACTCATAAATTTTTAGCACGCTTTAACATTGTCGAGTGTCGGCGCTAATGACAAGACTGCGTTAGGTGAGTGGGGGTCGAAACGAGTGTGTTTCCTTTTGAAAATGACACTTTCCGTTAAGGGCCAGCAATACAAAGCGAAAAATGTCAAAAGGTCAAGAAAAGTGGCAGTGAAATAAAAGCAGCCAACAGAAATCTAAAGCGATAAGCGTTAAGTGAGAAAGGCTAATGAGCCTACATAAGTTACGCGTAGAGGGGAACAAATTTCATTGAAAAAATTCAACCCTCCAAAGTCTTTTGCACAAAACAATATCATAATGCTTTGAGTGTCCACCATAGTAATGGTTGTGAGGCTCGTAAGTGAATGGTGAGTACAGCTGGGGAGAGAGTGAGCATAATGATCCAAGAGCACTCGCTTATCACGCTAAATGTTGCACAATTTAAGGCGAAAATGATGCGCATCTAGTGCAGTGGGTGTGGTTTCGACAGTTTTACGCTAATGAATTTTGAAGCGTTGCACGAGGGCTGTGGACAAAGGATGGATAAAGAAATGTAAAGAAGGCGAAAAGGAAGAAAACTAAATGTAAATATGTATATGTTTGATAACGAGTGCTGGAAAAGGCAGTCGCCTTACGACTCCAACCACGTACGACTAATGTTAAATGAAGAAGAAAATATGGCTGCGATCCTTCTAACCTCAGCTCTTTTCGAGTTTTAGGCATCTCAAGTACCATAGAAGGTTCTTACAGCAATAATGATTGGAACACAATGAAATAAGACTTCCAATCGAATGCAAATACGTCAAGAAATTATTTCATTAGCATGGAGGAGGCAGCAAAATAAACTCTAACAAACTTCACCAGAGAACGGTGGGGTAGAGGATTCCCACGAGATGATGTCGGCAGAGTTATTAGCTTCGAAAGGAACTTTAAAACAGAATTAGGGAATAAAGCAAGCTAGACTGATACTAACATCCAAAAATACTCCCAGCTGCACCGTCTAATTTAGTACACAGACGGCTCAAAAACACCAGAGGGCATTGGAGCTGACCAACAGTCTGTGTATAGCGATTAACCTTCAGCGAAGATTTTGCAGTGAAAATATCCTGAAAGCCAAAACGCACTCAAGGCTCTTCATTCCTATGAAATCAAGTCAGCACTGGTTCTCGATTGCGTAGAGAGACTGAATGCCTTAGCAGTGTACAACAGGATCTTCCTTCCTTCTATGGGTCCCAGGCCACAAAGACTTAGAGGGAAATTAAGAAGCAGACAGGCTCGCCAGGGAGCCGACAGCAACAACACCAATAGGCCTCGACCCCGCACAATACCAATAAAACCGCAGACCAAATGAAAAATACCTCGGGTCGCTAAACCAGCCAAATCATCACTATGTCACATAAAAATCTGCTGAATTTCCGAAGGGTGCTAGGACTGGCGGATATGCGGTGAGGAGCAAGAAGGCACAATAGATCTCACATTACATTCCTCAACAGGTAATAGACCTGCGAGTGTCTCCCTAAGGTTATTCTTGTATTGTCCATCACGTTACCACTAAATAGGTTTTCTTGAAACGCTAACTGCAAGTAATCTGCATCTCACTAAAGCTCTGAGTGCTCAAAATAAAGTTCTTTTGGAGGCTGTGGACTACTTCAGAAATTTCCACGGTAGTATTAATGGCATGCGAGCCGATTTATTCAACAATAGTTGTACGAAAGTATTTAGGGCAGCTGAGGAGATGGTGAGATGATTCTAAGGCACCAACGAACAAACAACTACGTATGGGTTCGTATTGGAAAGTGCTCGGTCAGAGCTCCAAGAGTTAGTGCTTTGTCAGTTAGAAAGACTTATTTGACCACCTGCTGTCGACTACCGACCAGAAGAACTTTCAAATTTAGCGTGTTGAGGTTTCAGCCCAATGCTCACTAAGCCGACTAAAAGCCCATCTATACAGAAGAAAACCACAGGATGTTGCAAGATGTCTTCCAACTCTACCTTCCAACTTCGACTTATCCGTGAATATTTTCTATGAACTGCTCTTCCAGAGACTGTAATGCAGCTATTCTCCACTTAAAAGGATGTGTGTAGGTAGGGAAGAATTTAATCGGATTGGGTCCGTTTCATTAGGTGTAAAGTCGAAGTTTTCACAGATCGCCGTGTGTTCGTAAGCCGGGTTAAAGGAAAAAATAGTGCTTTTAGCCTGAAATCAGAGCGGATTGGGCAGCCTTACCTACAATGTCTACAGCTGCCTCGTTTCCTTTGATATTTCTGTGTGCGGGAATGCAACAAAGAGTGACTTGACATGGCCCAGCGATACCAACTTGACAGCTTGGAAGAACCAACAGTCATTTAACAGATTAAAAGACTCACTGAACTACAGATTTAAAAAACAAATTTACTTCATTCAAACAATTATTAAATTTAATGTTCTCTAACTTAAATGGAAATCGAGTTCGTGCAACCAATTCCCATACAAAGGCATATATTTTAATTCGCCGGAACCAATACCACACCGTCAGACACTTTTATGCATTGTTAATGACATTTTACGCCTTTCACACGTGCTTTTAACAACTGTCAAATACAAAGGCCAACATTCATAGCCGACTTTGGTATATACAACAACAATGAAGGAAGTAACAAAATGCTGAATGGTAAGGCAGTAATATTAACTGTGTGGTAGATTGGAAGGTGAGAAAACGTATGAAAAGACCCAACTGCCTTAAACGCATTGCATAAAGGGCATAAAGCTGTTTCAAGAAGCGGGTTATAAAGCTTGCAAACGTTTCTGCGTTTCATATTTGGAGTGTTAAAATGTGAATTTGGTGTAAATTGAAAATATTGAAAAGCTATTGAAGCAGCGAATAAATGAAAAAATCATAAATGTAGACCATTTATAGCGGTATTTTATTATTGCACTTGTGAGTTCGCACTTCTCGTTGGCCGGGGACATGGGAGTGCCTTTGCGGTATGCACTGCATGTAACTCTGTGAATGTGTGTATTCTTCGAATTTTTATTACCACAAATTGAATTAAGTTCGCAGCGTGCTTTGTATGCATTTGAACGTGTTAGTTGTAGTTATTGGATAATGCAATGAAATTGAAAAGTGGAGAAATTCGATAAGAAAAAAGAGGACTTTAACGGCGTCTCAGTGAGGAGCAGCGACTATATAGAGCTCGCTGTAATAATAAATACAAGCAGTAATACTAGAAATTCATGCGAACTTGGGGTTGATGAGTTATGCTTTCGTGAAAAAGAGAGTGAGGGGGATGAAGAGAGAAGAATATCTTCTTATGCATTTTCTAAGCGCCAGAAGTCTAGATTATGCGGCATATTTTTGAGCGATTTGATAATGACACTAATTTTGGCAGGTCTTGTCACTACATGCGAACAGAACTGTCTCGAAAACTTCAGAATAGAGTGCCCAAAAAATCGCAAAAAAACACAAATTTCTAAACAGCCATTAACTCCGAAAAAGCTCCGAGAAAATTTCGAAAAGCCCCGACAAAATCCGATAAATCTTATTGAGCACAAAAGTCACTAAAATTCCTAGGAGGTTCTGAAAAGTCTCGAAAAAATCGAAGGTTCCGTTCAATACTAAAAAGTTTGAGGAAAATACTCAAGAAAATCTCAAACAGTGCCGAATAAAACTCGAAGTCACGGAAATTCTCAACAAACTCAAATATATCCCGAATGGTCCCAAAAAACGTCCGAAAACTCGGAAATTGTTTTGCAAAGTTCTGAAAACATCGCGAAAAACCAAGAAAAGTCTGAAACAAAACTTAAAAGGTCGCGAAACCCCCGCGAAGCTACAAAAAGTGTGGGACAAATCTCCACAAAAAAACTCAATAACATGGAAAAATCACGAATAAAACTAGAAAAGTCATAAATATGACATAAATTTCTGAAAAAAAAATCTAGAAACAAATACAAAAAACCCCACAAGATCGCGAAAAGTTTCAAAAAATCACTAACAAGCCTCTAAAATCACGAATGAAATGAAAAAAGTCACGAAGAATCGCGATAGAACCCGAAGAGCCCAGAAAAGAACCGAAACTGCCAAAATCCTTTAAGATGACCGAAAAGTGATGGAGAAAAACTCAAGAATATCTCTAAAAGCCTAGAAAAATCTTGAATAACATACAAAAAGTCACGAAAACTCGCAAGGTCACGAAAAGTTTAGAAAAAACCGCAAAATCCTAGAGAAACCCCGAACAAAGTCTAAAAACAAAATTCCCAAAATCCCAAAAGGCAGCGAAAAGTTGAAAAATGTCGAACAAGGCACAAAGTGTCTTGAAAAACCGGCAGACGTAACAAAAAGTCTAGAAAAAATCCCGCCAACCCCGAGAGACCCTGAAGAGTTCTAGAAAAATTCCGAACAAATCCCAAAGTGTCGCGAGAACCCACAGGGGGTTCCGGAAAATATACAAAAAGTGTTGAAAGTTCTGAAATAAGTCCCGAAAACTGTTAATGAAACCCAAAGGTTACGAATTGTTTAGTGTTTTAAGTTCTAAAAATAAAAAGTAAACATTATTAGCTTTTCAAAACTGTATTTCAACTCAGCTTTACAAAAATAACTCTATAGTCGCCAATTGAAGTTCTCCACACAACTCAGAGATTGGTCAACCAAATCGGGCTGCAACTTTAATATTAAAAGTTTGAAAATCAATAAAAATCTGATCTCCTATAAATATTATTT